AGACAAATATTCTCGTTTTGCTTTAAAAGGAAAAAAGTTAAGTGTTGCCCATGATATGACGAATAAAAAAGCAAACCCAAGCTAGTAATTACTGGACTGAGGACACGAAATCCGCGGGTGTGAAAAAAGAAAGGGGCCGCGGCGCTGTGTCATTACGTGTCGCCGAATCCCTCGCCCGAAGGCGTCCTCTGCGAGACGGGCGCCAGGGCCTACGGGCGGGGATATTTTCCTCTGAGCTACGTCCCATCACGGGCAATAGCAGGTCGCGATGGAGAAAGGCGTGGTTTGCATTGTTATTATTTTGCCATATTTCTGGCGAGTGCACGGTGTGTGGCCCAAATTGCCCGACGCGGACAGGGTTTCCAGGGAACAATGGGATCAGCAGCGCGCAACGAGGCGGGGCGGGACGAGTTTAACCCTCGGGTTTCATGTTATGCGATCTCAAGGGTTCTTCTTCCCCCTCCCCCCTTCTCCCTCTCCTTTTCCCTCCCCCCACCTCACCCCTTGCCGCGTAACAAGAATCCCCCCCCCCCCCGCTGGCCCCCCGCATACTGTCTACTAGCGGAAGAGTTTGGGATTAATCGTTCTTTCCGAAATTTAAGATTTATGCCTTTTCCACACCGGAAGTCGGACAATCGCCATCTCTGGGCATTACTCCCGTGGAGTGTATTCTCAGGTGGCATTTTATCTGTGCTGTGAATTTCAGTTATATGCTGATACGGCAAAAAATACATTAAAAAACACGAATTAAGAATAAGAAGCAAGTGCAGGTAAGTAGGCTGGAACAGGTCTGGCGCCGCGCCGGTGACGCCAGACGGGTGTGGGTGAGCATCACGCTTTCCTGCCTTGCCGCCCACCAAACACTGTCTGCCGGAGCACGCCCACGGTCTCCAGCACGTACCCTTGCTCGCGCACAGTCTATTTGAGATCGCGTCCTATTGTACCATACAGCCCCGAAGACTTCTATTTGTTTTGGGGAAAGTTGTTGGGCGGCACGGCGGGGACTTTTGTCTGGCGGGTCTGGGGCGCTCACCCCGTTGATGTCGAGGTCAGGTGAGCAGCACGAGGGAAGGCGGCTCAAGTGTCTTGTGCCGCAGGAGCCCTTAGCAGTCTGGCGCCGCACCGCGCACCATTCTTGCTTTGGAGTCGGGTCAGGTGAGGTCAGTCCAGCGCGCTCGCGTCAAACTCACCAAGTCCAAGGCTGTCGGACTTTACTAGAAGGTGGATTAGGTGGAGAAGAAGGTGTGAGGTGGGTGACGTAGTGTAAGTGGGAGGTGGAGGGCGTGGAGTGATATAATAAAGGGAGGTGAGGACTGGTCATCGCACCACTCCCACTCCCACCCTCCGCCAGGGGACAACGGCACGGTTCCATAGCACAGTGAGCGCCGATCCAACGCTTTCCGAAAGCACTCGCGCGCCGTCTGCCTGTCGTTGTGCTCGCGACACTAGTGATCGCGGACAGTTGTGGGAAGTGCATGATCTGCATCATCTGTTCTTCGGGAATCGAGGTTAAGGGAAACCGCGTAAGTACGAGAGGGAGCTGCGACCTCTTCAAGGAATGGAATCAGCCACGCGGCTGAAGCGAGAGCCCCTTCGGCACTGCTGGGAGAGGACTTCATTTCACGAATCCGTTATAAGCTACATATGTGGATAGCCAAAGAAGAACGAAAGTGGCGATGACTTCATAAAAGTTGGATACGGAGATCAAGAAAAAAGACAAGCATGACTCAGTCGTTGGATGACATTTAGGTCTAATAATAAGAAATAAGTTAAGGGTTCGTCATCGCTCTCCTGTACGTGAACCGCCCGCGAGAGGGCACGCGCCGCCTCGGGCACAGTGCCGCGGCCTTTGCGCCGACCTTGCCCATGTGCGTGAGGCCCGACGTGCCCCAAGACTCGTGTTCGAGTGTGATAGCGGTACTAGACGGAGCTCGCAGCCCAGCCTCAGTCGGGGCCCCAAATTAGGAAGTTTTCTCCCGTGTTGCTAAGCTGGTCCAGCAGCCGGTCACAACCCTACACTGCTATAGTGTCTCGCTCCGGCCAGCTGACAACAGAGCTCAGCCAGGGTTATTCACCTCCGGATGCTCAAGATAGCTTTAGATAAGTAATCTCTTTAAATGTAAGATGTGAGTGATTAAAAAGTTCGCCGATCTTATCTGATCACATCAACAAGTACAAACGCGGTTTAACCTATTCTGACCTCACAGATGATGTCTTACACGACTTATCGCGCATATCTTATGCTCTGCGAAGTAATCCGAGTTTTAAACGAAGTATTGTGCAATGGCTATGCAAGTGCATGAAGTGGTTGCGGGGGAGGCGGAGGCAATGTCAGCCCATGGGGACTAAGGTGACTTTGGCCAGCCTTCCTCACCCGGCAACAATCGCGTCTTATCACCGGCACTGCGAAAATCTACAAATTCCTTTTTGATTTATATTAGTTTAGTGGTAGACTTTGTTCATACATTCAAATCTAGTTATGACTTTGTCGTTCTCGAAATTTACAATCAGTTTTATCTCCGCGAGTTGATTTTAAGATAGCAAGCAGTGGGAGACTGCTGATCGAGTTTGCTGAGACGAAACATAAACAAATCGAGCGAAAGGCAGCGGATATTCAGACGTGCAGGTCCTCGTCTGGGCAGGGTAGGGCGGACTTGCCATGGCAGTGGGGACGCTCGTTATACATCATGACACACGGATCTTAGACGTTCATGGATCATCTGCGTTTTAGCGTTGTAGACTTTGTGCTTGTGGGACGAGGATGAAATTTCTCGAAGTATTGCTTGTGTGGTTGGCTGCCCTCCTCAAGTAAGTTCCCTCTCGGGTTCTCACGCGGCTGAGCTGATTTTCTTAAAATGCATGGGATGTACTGCATTTGTAATGTCCATACATCGATAGAAAGTAGTGTTTTGCAAGGAATGTATCAATGTAATAATTTCCTTTCAACTTAAAAAAGTGCAGCAAGGTTAGGCCGAAGTTGCATGACTGCCTTCACGAAGACCGGTGCTGGGAAATCGAGCGTCAGTGACACTGTCATGTTTGGTGTGATCAGAGTGAAGAAAGTAACGCCCGTGTAAGAATTAAGTTTCAGTTTTTCTCGTGCAACTCCGTTGTTGATATATAGTTTGAATTAATGGCCGGGACCGAACCGAAAAGGTGCGTCACGTGCCGACTCCGATTATTTCTTGTGGTAAAACAGCCGCCAATAATCTATATTCTGCCAACAAAGTATAACATTCTTAATAACAATAACAGTGATAATTTGGCCGTATAGTTTTTTAAAAGGTGAATCGGCAGATTATAATTATTAACTGTGTACAAACCTGTCGCTTAGGCTTAACACTATGAGCGATGTGCTCGTTCAAGGGAAAATTTGTGCTGTTAGTATTTTCGTGCTTCAGATACACACGAAAGTAGTTGCTGCATCTTGTCACGTAATCGGGCTGAGAACGAAACAAACCGTCACGGGAAGTTTCTTGGGAAATGATGATAATGGAGCAGAGAGATACCGCTAACACGGTTCAGGAAATGTTATCGGGTGGCGCTTTGAGGTGATAAACCAGTTGGAGAAGCTGGTAGGTGCAGTTCAAGTGCAACATTGCAAGCAATTTGATCATACCCACCCGGAAGCTCCTTCTTTGCTTCGAGGGTGACTGATTTACCACAGGGTCAGTTTTTAGCCCTTTTTAAGGAAATATTCGAATGCGAGTTATCATTTCGATGACTGTCGCGAGTTTCATTACAGGTAGTAAGGTTGTTTTTTTTTAAATCCACTTATTGATGTGAAATAGCTGTATCCCTATGGAGGCAACACGCCTGACAAACAGATCCTTTCTCCAAGCATGAGTGAGGGAGTGTGTGAAGGCAAGGAGGGGATGGAGGTAGGTGGACGGAAAGAAGCCGCACCTGCCGGCGGGCGCAGGAGAAACGACCAGAAGAAGGCTGCGGGTCGGCCCTTGAGTTCGTGCTACGAAGAGCAGATGCTCCAGAAGTCGGCCCAGCAGCCCCTTCGGCGAATCTACTCTTACGGCTGGGCGAAGGAAAAGGACAGCGGCCAGAAAGAGTGGAATCAGTCGTACAGGTGACCTCCTCCACGAGGTGGCCCGGCGTGTGCTGAGTGAGCCAACCGCGTGTATCACAAACCTCTCCGTCTGCGCCGCCCTCGCGTGCTGTGGAGGGCGAGCATGCCACACGTTTTCTTTAACTTGCTCCGCGCTTATCTTTGCTCTGTCATTTTGTGTATCGGCACTATTTTGACAGGTAGTTGCTGCTCGTTGGGGTCTTAGCGATTGGTTAAATAACATGTGGATTATTAAATGCTGATTATTATTTTTTGCGAGTTTTTTCTTTAAATAAATAGAAACAGAATAAATAAGTATATATTTCTACTACGTTTGATTTTTTTCCCCGCCCTTATGATTTTTTCCCCGCCCATATGATTTTTTCCCCATTTAACAGTATTCAGTTGATGCCCACGCAATTTGTTTTATATACTAACCATTTACAGTATTAGTGATTGGTCGTTATTTATCTTTTTTACCACTTATTTATTTTTGAAATGTTATCATAACTTCTAAAGCAAATATCACATCTGCATCTCATTAACTCATACCATCGAGCTCATGATTCACCCACACTCACACATTGACTGCAGTTCATTATTCATTTATTTTTATTAACCCAAAATCTGTGTGTGATATGTTCTGTTTATTTTATTTTTATTATTTATATAATTTACTTCTTCCCCATTTGTGTGCCAATTTTTCTTTTCTGTTACTACTAGAACTCACCAAAGTATCTTTAGTTTATTTTTATTTCTTTTATTATGATTACCTATGAACAGATATAAGTAATAAAGCCTTCCTTATTTCTAAATAATTGTGATGCCATTCATTCCTTAAACTAAAAAAAAAAAAACAGGAATTATGATTATCTCCACAAAATGAAAGAAATATTCTTAGAGTTCACTGGTTAATGGTAGCATAAATTCACCTCTTCAGGAAGCTGGCCAACTTCTTCAAGATGGGCGTGCAGGACGGAGCCGGGGTGGTGACCCAGGGGCCTCAGAGCCAGCAGATGTACACTTCTGACCATATGTCTCCTATGACCAACTCGGTCAATGGGACTATGGGATCTGAGCCGAAGGTTTGTTTGTTTGCTGGTTGGAGGGTTGGTTGACTTCTTGTTCCATTGTCTAGGGTTCACTCAGAAATGTGTGGACCCCCCTTTTTGGAGCGGTTTGGGGGCAGGAGCATGGTGTGTTGGGGTATGGGGTTAGGTGAAGTGGGTCAGGATTGGTAGAAACGTGCAAGATTTGAGGTTTGGAAGGATTGGCAAGTTTTCAAGGAAGATTAGAGGTTTGGAACGATTGGCAAGTTTTCTCAGTTAGTAAAGGATTTGCAGGTAATTTGAGTGGCAGTGAATCTTGATATAAATTGTTGAGTGTCTCTATCCATTGAAAATAACAAAATGTCCTTTGCAGGGACTGAGCTTACCCAAGATGGGAAGTGGACCTGGCATGAGTTTTAGCCAGCAGCAGCCGCAGGTTCGTGTGCTCACCCTCAACCATGGGGACCACATGGACTCTACGCTCTTCCGTCTACAGAAAGGTAAGAGACAAAATTGAATTTGTTTGAATATAGTTTTGAATTGGTGGATGATGCTTTTTATCATTATTTCATATGATCAAATTTCTCTGCTTACCAACCAGAATTGCTATCTTCAGTAATCAGCCTTTTTTTTTATCATCCAGGGTGGGTACTTCAGCTCCGTCCCGGCCCATCTCTGCTGGGGAAGGCCGTCAGTGTGTTCACCAACCACCCAGAGGACCTAGGGGAGGGTTTCACCCGTAACCGTTATAGACGTCTCCAATGGAAAAGTGACTCTCGCAATAAGGGTGATGATACAGCCCTCTATGTTGAAGTAGTCATCATTTCAGCAGGAGCTTTCCATTTCTATTTCACCTATGATGATGGGTATGTGACACTTTCTTTTTTACTGATGTGAGCTAATATCCAAGATCTAGAAGTATAAGTTTGTTTTGTATTAATGCTCATATTTATTGATATTGACTTAAGAGACATTTATATTGATTTTAGAGCCAGCAAAGAGAGTACCTGTAACCTGTTCCTCAGACTTTTCATATGGCTAAATTTTTTCATGAGCTTTAATCTTTATATTGTTGATTATGAAGTTGACATTGAAAGATTGATGACTGAAGCAAATAAATTTTATCCCCTCAGAGTGGAACGTGAAAGAGCTCAGGGCTCTGGCTACTTCATTGTAGACCCAACCCTCACTGTAGGCACTAATAGTGAAACTTTGAGTTTGGATTGCGTTCAGTGCCAGACTGTGTTGTCGAAATGCCTAGGACCTCTGCCTGACTGGGAACAAAGGCTGCAAGTGGCTTATGAGACTGGCTACAATCTGGTTCATTTTACTCCCATTCAGGTAAACAGTGAAATATAAAAAATCTGATGCTTTCATTTGTAACATATAATAGTGTAATGTGCTATATCAATGTTACTGCAGTTCATTTTAATACCTTTGAAGGAAAAAGGTTTTAGCCAATATTAATTATCTTTCTTTAAATTTTTAGGAACTTGGTGATTCAAATTCTTCCTACTCGATAAAGGATCAGCACAAGCTTAACACTGAGTTCCAGACCCCAGACCACCAGTACACCTTTGCTGATGTTGAGGCTCTCATCAGGAGAATGAGGGATGAATGGAAGATGTTATCCCTGACTGATGTGGTGCTGAACCACACAGCCAATGATTCTAACTGGATCCAGGACCATCCTGAGGCAACCTATAACTGCCATAACTCCCCTCACCTCCGTCCTGCTTATCTTCTGGATCGTGTACTGTACCATATGACAGTTGAAGTGGCTGATGGCAAGTGGGAAGATCGTGGTATCCCGGTGGCCATCAGGGAAGAAAAAGATCTTGAGGTAGGAATGTTGTTTTGAACAGTGTTCAGGGTTGTGGTAATATGTGTTTTTTTGACAAGATTTCTTTTTGATATTGTATAAAACCTGTATATAATAAACTGGTGACTAATTATTACAGATAATGTAAACAATAATACCATTTTTGGTCATTTCAAAATGTCTAATTCTTCCTGTTTTCTTTTTCCATAGGCTATTAAGAATGTTATTCATAGCCATTTCCTCCCACAAGTTAAACTCCATGAATTCTACACTGTGGATGTAGACAAAACAGTTGAAGAGTTCCGTCGCAGAATTTCCAGCAACCTTCCAATCGTCACCAGAGGCAAGGGTGATTCTTCATACAAAGAGGAAATGGTCATCATTCAGGACCCCAATTATGGAAGAAGAACTTGCACAGTTGATATGAATATTGCTGTGAGACTCTACAATTTAGCCAGGTATAGTACTCCGTTTTTTCTGATACATGTACCTGTATGTACATATAATAAGTCTTATTCATTTTCATCATATACAATGTAATAATTCACCTATAGATGCTAAAGCTGAATGTAGTCAGGTATTAATTGTAAAGCAAGTATATATACTATTTTACTGATCTTTTGGGGAGTCATATACAAAAAATAATAATTGTATGATAATAGAATCAGAAGATAATTTATTATTTGTGTTATCTTTGAGATTGAATGTGAATAGATATAGAGTCCT